TCAACTTTCGGCCAAATTTTGACATTTTCGAAACCCAACTGAACACATTTTCTTGTAGATTTCGAGCCCTAGAACTCACTTCCGGGCTCGATTTTTTGATAGCCGCAGCCGTTTTTCCAAAATCGGCAGTTGAAATATCGAAAATTTTCGAAATTTTGAAAAATTCGCATTTCTTTCCGATTATTTCGAAAATGTCGCTTCGCGACCATCAACAGGCTATATTTTTGGAATCAGCACGTCGAGATCTACGTCCCTGAATTTTTTCGCAATTTTTAGACGACTTTTTCGAAAGTGAAAATTTTCCAATGGTCCCCCCTTCTTCAAATTTCGGTCAAATTTTGACATTTTCGAAACCTAACTGAACACATTTTCTTGTAGATTTTGAGCCCTAGAACTCACTTCCGGGCTCGATTTTTTGATAGCCGCAGCCGTTTTTCCAGAATCGACAGTTGAAATATCGAAAATTTTCGAAATTTTGAAAAATTCGCATTTCTTGCCGATTATTTAGAAAATGTCGCTCCGCGACCATCAACAGGCTATATTTTTGGAATCAGCACGTGGAGATCTACATCCCTGAATTTTTTCGCAATTTTTAGACGACTTTTTCGAAAGTGAAAATTTTCCAATGGTCCCCCCTTCTTCAAATTTCGGTCAAATTTTGACATTTTCGAAACCCAACTGAACACATTTTCTTGTAGATTTCGAGCCCTAGAACACACTTCCGGGCTCGATTATTTGATAGCCGCAGCCGTTTCTCCAGAATCGGCAGTTGAAATATCGAAAATTTTCGAAAATTTGAAAAATTCGCATTTCTTTCCGATTATTTCGAAAATGTCGCTCCGCGACCATCAACAGGCTATATTTTTGGAATCAGCACGTCGAGATCTACGTCCCTGTATTTTTTCGCAATTTTTAGAAGACTTTTTCGAAAGTGAAAATTTTCCAATGGTCTTCTTCAAATTTCGGCCAAATTTTGACATTTTCGAAACCCAACTGAGCACATTTTCTTGTAGATTTCGAGCCCTAGAACTCACTTCCGGGCTCGATTCTTTAATAGCCGCAGCCGTTTTTCCAAAATCGGCAGTTGAAATGTCGAAAATTTTCGAAATTTTGAAAAATTCGCATTTCTTTCCGATTATTTCGAAAATCTCGCTCCGGGACCATGAACAGGCTATATTTTTGGAATCAGCACGTCGAGATCTACGTCCCTGAATTTTTTCGCAATTTTTAGACGACTTTTTCGAAAGTGAAAATTTTCCAATGGTCCCCCCTTCTTCAAATTTCGGCCAAATTTTGACATTTTCGAAACCTAACTGAACACATTTTCTTGTAGATTTCGAGCCCTAGAACTCACTTCCGGGCTCGATTCTTTGATAGCCGCAGCCGTTTTTCCAAAATCGGCAGTTGAAATATCGAAAATTTTCGAAAATTTGAAAAATTCGCATTTCTTTCCGATTATTTCGAAAATGTCGCTCCGCGACCATCAACAGGCTATATTTTTGGAATCAGCACGTCGAGATCTACGTCAACGAATTTTTTCGCAATTTTTAGACGACTTTATCGAAAGTGAAAATTTTCCAATGGTCCCCAATTCTTCAACTTTCGGCCAAATTTTGACATTTTCGAAACCCAACTGAACACATTTTCTTGTAGATTTCGAGCCCTAGAACTCACTTCCGGGCTCGATTTTTTGATAGCCGCAGCCGTTTTTCCAAAATCGGCAGTTGAAATATCGAAAATTTTCGAAATTTTGAAAAATTCGCATTTCTTTCCGATTATTTCGAAAATGTCGCTCCGCGACCATCAACAGGCTATATTTTTGGAATCAGCACGTCGAGATCTACGTCCCTGAATTTTTTCGCAATTTTTAGACGACTTTTTCGAAAGTGAAAATTTTCCAATGGTCCCCCCTTCTTCAAATTTCGGCCAAATTTTGACATTTTCGAAACCCAACTGAAAACATTTTCTTGTAGATTTCGAGCCCTAGAACACACTTCCGGGCTCGATTCTTTGATAGCCGCAGCCGTTTTTCCAGAATCGGCAGTTGAAATATCGAAAATTTTCGTAATTTTGAAAAATTCGCATTTCTTTCCGATTATTTCGAGAATGTCGCTCCGCGACCATCAACAGGCTATATTTTTGGAATCAGCACGTCGAGATCTACGTCCCTAAATTTTTTCGCAATTTTTAGACGACTTTTTCGAAAGTGAACATTTTCCAATGCTCCCCCCTTCTTCAAATTTCGGCCAAATTTTGACATTTTCGAAACCCAACTGAACACATTTTCTTATAGATTTCGAGCCCTAGAACTCACTTCCGGGCTCGATTTTTTGATAGCCGCAGCCGTTTTTCCAAAATCGGCAGTTGAAATATCGAAAATTTTCGAAAATTTGAAAAATTCGCATTTCTTTCCGATTATTTCAAAAATGTCGCTCCGCGACCATCAACAGGCTATATTTTTGGAATCAGCACGTCGAGATCTACGTCCCTGAATTTTTTCGCAATTTTTAGACGACTTTTTCGAAAGTGAAAATTTTCCAATGGTCCCCCCTTCTTCAAATTTCGGCCAAATTTTGACATTTTCGAAACCTAACTGAACACATTTTCTTGTAGATTTCGAGCCCTAGAACTCACTTCCGGGCTCGATTCTTTGATAGCCGCAGCCGTTTTTCCAAAATCGGCAGTTGAAATATCGAAAATTTTCGAAATTTTGAAAAATTCGCATTTCTTTCCGATTATTTCAAAAATGTCGCTCCGCGACAATCAACAGGCTATATTTTTGGAATCAGCACGTCGAGATCTACGTCCCTGAATTTTTTCGCAATTTTTAGACGACTTTTTCGAAAGTGAACATTTTCCAATGGTCCCCCCTTCTTCAAATTTCGGCCAAATTTTGACATTTTCGAAACCCAACTGAATACATTTTCTTGTAGATTTCGAGCCCTAGAACACACTTCCGGGGTCGATTCTTTGATAGCCGCAGCCGTTTTTCCAGAATTGGCAGTTGAAATTTCGAAAATTTTCGAAAATTTGAAAAATTCGCATTTCTTACCGATTATTTCGAAAATGTCGCTCCGCGACCATCAACAGGCTATATTTTTGGAATCAGCACGTCGAGATCTACGTCCCTGAATTTTTTCGCAATTTTTAGACGACTTTTTCGAAAGTGAAATTTTTCCAATGGTCCCCCCTTCTTCAAATTTCGGCCAAATTTTGACATTTTCGAAACCCAACTGTACACATTTTTTTGTAGATTTCGAGCCCTAGAACTCACTTCCGGGCTCGATTTTTTGATAGCCGCAGCCGTTTTTCCAAAATCGGCAGTTGAAATATCGAAAATTTTCGAAATTTTGAAAAATTCGCTTTTCTTACCGATTATTTCGAAAATGTCGCTCCGCGACCATGAACAGGCTATATTTTTGGAATCAGCACGTCGAGATCTACGTAACCCTGAATTTTTTCGCAATTTTTAGACGACTTTTTCGAAAGTGAAAATTTTCCAATGGTCTTCATCAAATTTCGGCCAAATTTTGACATTTTCGAAACCTAACTGAACACATTTTCTTGTAGATTTCGAGCCCTAGAACTCACTTCCGGGCTCGATTTTTTGATAGCCGCAGCCGTTTCTCCAGAATCGGCAGTTGAAATATCGAAAATTTTCGAAAATTTGAAAAATTCGCATTTCTTTCCGATTATTTCGAAAATGTCGCTCCGCGACCATCAACAGGCTATATTTTTGGAATCAGCACGTCGAGATCTACGTCAATGAATTTTTTCGCAATTTTTAGACGACTTTATCGAAAGTGAAAATTTTCCAATGGTCCCCAATTCTTCAACTTTCGGCCAAATTTTGACATTTTCGAAACCCAACTGAACACATTTTCTTGTAGATTTCGAGCCCTAGAACTCACTTCCGGGCTCGATTTTTTGATAGCCGCAGCCGTTTTTCCAAAATCGGCAGTTGAAATATCGAAAATTTTCGAAATTTTGAAAAATTCGCATTTCTTTCCGATTATTTCGAAAATGTCGCTTCGCGACCATCAACAGGCTATATTTTTGGAATCAGCACGTCGAGATCTACGTCCCTGAATTTTTTCGCAATTTTTAGACGACTTTTTCGAAAGTGAAAATTTTCCAATGGTCCCCCCTTCTTCAAATTTCGGCCAAATTTTGACATTTTCGAAACCTAACTGAACACATTTTCTTGTAGATTTCGAGCCCTAGAACTCACTTACGGGCTCGATTATTTGATAGCCGCAGCCGTTTTTCCAAAATCGGCAGTTGAAATATCGAAAATTTTCGAAATTTTGAAAAATTCGCATTTCTTTCCGATTATTTCGAAAATGTCGCTTCGCAACCAACAACAGGCTATATTTTTGGAATCAGCACGTCGAGATCTACGTCCCTGAATTTTTTCGCAATTTTTAGACGACTTTCTCGAAAGTGAAAATTTTCCAATGGTCCCCCTTCTTCAAATTTCGGCCAAATTTTGACATTTTCGAAACCTAACTGAACACATTTTCTTGTAGATTTCGAGCCCTAGAACTCACTTCCGGGCTCGATTCTTTGATAGCCGCAGCCGTTTTTCCAAAATCGTCAGTTGAAATATCGAAAGTTTTCGAAATTTTTAAAAATTCGCATTTCTTTCCGATTGTTTCGAAAATGTCGCTCCGTGACCTTCAACATCAAATGTACTAGAAAACTCTGAACTCCAAGTTCACTTCCTGTTAATATATAGAAATTATTTTAATATTAATTTTAAGTACTTAAAAAGTCGGTATTAGTTGAAATTCACTTGATCTCTTCATTAAAACACACTAAAATTATTTTCACCCGTACACAATGTAATATCAAATTCGGGAACTGAGAGAAAGACGCCCCCTTTAAATGCGGGAATTTTCGCTAAAAATCAAAGATTGGAAGAGTATTGTTTCGAATAATTTCAAAACGGACAACTAGGAAGCGTTGCTCGCTCAGCCCGGGTCGCAACTTCGACTTACCGATTCGGATGACTGGCGGCAGGGCGGTCGAGACCAGCGTACTCCAGACGAGCAACAGCCCAACTCTCACCGCCATTTCGGAGCCCCGGATCGAGCAGTCAGCATGACCCGAACTGGCTGCACACCCGATGCAGCATCACATCGAAATTCACCACACCACTAAATTAATACCGGCAATGTTTATAATTAGAATACACTTAGACAAACATTGATTTAGGGAGGGTCCGTACACAAATATTTGAACACTTGAGTCGAGTTTATCTAATTCATTATTACACTACACTGATTTTATTTATTTAGTTAAACGGACCTTTCGAAGCCGAATCGCCAGATAGTTGTGTGATCTTATCTAAACGAAATTAGGGGAGGAAACCGCACGAACGAGGAGAATTATGAATGGCAGTGGGACGTTAACGTCGGGAGCTTTACCTGGAACAGAAAAAGAAAGTCAGTTTGAAAATGGTATAAACACATAAATCGCGATTTACGTTAAAAATTGTTACAATTTATTATTTATTAGTGTTTATTGTGCTAGATTAATAAATGTGCGATCGATTGGACGTGTTTGTAATAGCACGAGATTTATCTTCCATGGATAAAAGCGCTTTGAAAGCTTACGGCAGTTTGCATCAGCTTGTTATTAATTTTGAATTTCATTTTAAGTTAAAACTTTATTCTTTTACTACTTCCAACTACTCAACACGAGCGAGCTTTAATAACACAGGAGACTTTCGTTAATAGGGATTTCGAGCTTAGCGACCGCGAAACGAAAGTTTTCGGTTCGTGGAAATGTCGGGGTTTTTCGTGGTTCAATTAGTGAGCGGGATTATCGACAAGTTTCGTTTGAAGTCAGTTTTGGGGTTAAATTTCATCTACAATAAGCTAGATGAATGCGTAATACAGCTGCAAGATTAGTCCTCTGGGGGATCTCGAATGGAATGATCAAATAGTAATACGTCGGAATCTGTTGCTTGGTAGTGCATACGAGGTTTATTTGTACACTAATTTCATGTCGGTACGCTAACATGGAGCAAGCTGTTCCGGTAATACAGTCAGCTTTACCAACAGTGGAATTGTAGTAGGCTTATAGAAGGAAAAATTTGTTGGAGGTTATTTCGATAGAACCTCCCTTGCTCCTGAAGTGCAACCTAACAAATCCCGATTTTTTGAAAAACTATAAAAAATTTTACGGACGCAGTCTCCGTACAAAGGGAAAAATGCAAAAATCAAAATATTGAGAAATCGCACAACCGAAAAATGGAAACATCGGACCCTCGATTAATCATAAAAAGTGTACAAATCGAAAAATTGAGAAATTAAAATACTGAAAAATCACACATTCTAAAAATCGAAAAATTGAAAAACTGAAAAATCGAAATACGAAAAGTGGAACATTGAAAAAATGAGTAATGGAAACAGAAATTGAAAGTTCCGCATATTCCCAAAATTGAAATGTTGTAAAATTGAAAAATTGAAAATTAAAGAAATCGAAAAACCGAGATGTTGAGCAATCGCAAATTCCAAAAATCGAACATTAAATTAAATAAATTTTAAATTGGGGGAAAAAAAAAACGTCAAAATGAAAAATCTCAAAACTGAAACATTGAAAAATTGAGAAATCGAAAATTTGATAAATTGAAACTTCGAAAATTGAAAAACGATAGATCGAAAAGGTGAAGAGAGATCGAACAATCGTAAAATCAAAAAACCGAGAAATCGAGAATTTGAAACATTGAGAGAGTGAATCAAGAAAAGAGCGAAAAATTGAACAGTCGAGAAATCGAAACATAAACAAATAGAGAAATCGAAATGGCCCAAATTCGATTAATGTTGGAAATAAATCTAAAAGTCGAAAAATTGAAACATCGAGAAAGACTGAAAAATCGAAACATCGAAATCATCATAAATCGAGAAATCGAAAAACTGAAAAATGGAAAAATCAAAAAAGTCTAAAATTTAAAAATCGAAAAAAGTAAAAATCGACAAATCAAAAATTTGAGAAATCGAGAAATCAAAACACAAGGAAACTGAAAAACGGAAAATTCGAAAAAGTAAAACTCAAAAAGATTATTGCTTTGTCAACTTTGAGTCAGTTAGGTTTAATAACGAGAATTTTGACAAAAATCGAAAAATTGAATAAAAATACTGAAAAATTCCAAAACTGAAATATTGAAAGTCGGTAAATAAAAGAGATCGAAATAGTCCAAATTCGATAAATTGAAAATTGAACTCTCGAGAAATCTAAATTCGAAAAATTCAAAAAAAGTAAAAAATCGAGAAATCAAAAATCGAAAAGACGAAAAATCGAAATTTTGAAGAATCAAACAATTCAAAAATTGGGAAAACGAAACACCAAAAAATTACAACATTGCAATACTGAAAAATTGATAAGTTGGTAAATTGGAGAAACGAAAAATTCCAAAATCGAAAGAAAATTGAAAAATTGAAAAGACAAAAAGTCGACAAAACAAGAAGTGGAAAAACTGCAAAATTGAGAAGACAAAAACCCGAAAAATTCAAAAATTGATGAATAGAAAAATTGAAGAATTGAAAAAATGAAAAATCGTCTGAAATATTGGAAAATTGAGAAACCGAAAATTTAAAAAACGGAAAATCGAAAGTTTCAGAGCTCAGGAAATGAAAAAATGAAAATTCGAAAAATGGAAGAATCCGGAAATCGAAAAGTTGAAATTTTGAAGAATCGAAAAACTCAAAATTTGGGATATCAACAAATTGAAAAATTAGAAATATAAAATTCAAGAAATCGAAAAATTGAATCGGAATATTCAAAAATTACGAAACTGAAATACCGAAAATTTGGTAAGTTGATAAATAGGAAAATCGAAAAATTGAAAAATTGAAGGAAAATTGAAAAACTTTAAAGCTAAAACTTCGAAAAATTAAAAAATGGAGAAATCAAAAATCGAGAAGCGGAAAAAACGAAAAATCGAAAATTGAAAAAAATCGTGAAATTGAGAAGACAAAAACCTGAAAAATTCAACAACTAAAAATTTGGGAAATCGAAAAATTGAAACATCCAGAAAATTGGAAAAACGAAAAATCGAAATATCCAAAAACCGAAAAAATGTGCAAATCGAAACATGGAAAAGTTGAAATATCGAGAAATTGAAACATGGAAAGATCGAGAAATCAGAACATCAAAAATTTAAAATATAGGGAAATTGAACAATTGAAAAATCACAACATCGAAATCCCGATAAATCGAGAAATCGAAAAGTTGAAAATATAAAAAATCAAAAATCTGAAATTTGAACATATAGAATTTAATACATGAAAATTTCGAAAAATCTAAAAGCGAGAAATCGAAAAACTGATATCGAAATAAAGCAAATTCGCTAAATCATAACATTTAAATCTCGATAAATCGAGAAAACGAAGAACTGAAAAATTGAAAAATCGAAATTTTGAGAAATCGAAAAATTAAAAAATTGAGAAATCGGAACACCAAAAAATTGATACATTGCAAAATTGAAATATGAAAAAATCCAGAAATCGGAAATATCGAAAAGCGGAAAAATCGAAGAACCCTTAATTGGAATTGACATATGAAAAATTCCAAAACTCAAATACTGAAAATAATAATAATAATAATAACCTTTAAAAAATTTGAAACCTTTGAAAAATCGATAAGTTGGTAAATCGCATAAACGAGAAATCGAAAGAGAATTGAGAAGACAAAAACCTGAAAAATTCAAAAATTGAAGAACTAAAAAAATTGAAAATCGTAAAACTGAGAAACTGAAAATTAAAAAAATGAAAAATCTGAAGTTTGAGAATCGAAGAGCCGAAGAATCGAGAATCGCAATATCGGAAAGTCGAAATTTTGAAGAATCGAAAAATTGAAAAGTTGAAAAAGTAAAAAATCAAGAAATCAAAACAAAAATTCTAAAAATCGCAAAATTGAATCGGAATATTGAAAAATTACAAAACTGAAATGCTGAAAAATTGATAATATGCAAAATCGGAGAATTAACAAGTGAAAAATCGAAGGAAAATGAAAAACTGAGAAAATGGAAAAGGCGAAAAATCAAAAATCGAAAAATTGACAACACAAATACCCGAAAAATTTTAAAATGGAATAACTGAAGAATTGAAAAAATGAAAATTTTCGGTAAATTGAGAAACCGAAAAATAAAAAAATCATGAAGTCGGAAATTTAAAAAATCGGGGAATTGAAATGAAAAACTGGAAATTTGAAAAATCGAAGGATGGCGAAATAGAAAAGTCGAAAAATCGATTGTTCGAGAAATTGAGAAATCAAAAATTCAAATATTTAGAAACACCAGTAATTGAAAAATTCAAAAACAAAAAATTTAAAAATTGAAAAACTGAAAAATCGAAAACTTGAGGAAATCTTGAAAAAACTGAAAGTCGGAAAATTTGAAAAACCGAGAAATTGAAGAAACGAAAAATTGTAGAATGAAGAAACAAATATCGAAAAATTGAAGAATCAAAAAACTGAAAAATTCCAAACTAAATATATTACTTTTAACATTTAAATGACGTTGATTCGGACAAAATTATAAGATGACATCATCAATTCCTGGGGTTTGATTAGTGTTTTACCAACTGCTTGATATTCCTAACACATAAAGAATGTGCCAATAATCAATCCGATAGTTTTGAAGCTTATTTGTCCAATAAAAGTCCAGACAAACGGCGAACAAACAGACGAAAACGGGGACTCATTTTTTCGTACGTTTAAAGAAGTAAAAATCATTGAACAATACCAACATTTTGCTAACACTTTTTCCAGTAATTTACTCCGGCAGGTCAACCATGACTCTATTAACCAAATACAACAAAACAAACTTTTCATTTAATAGTGGCGACGAATTTCATTTCACATATCATTTTATTTTTAATTAAATGTAAACACAATATAAAACGGTCAATATTAGACCGCGTCGAAAAAAAAACCGCATAATATAAACACGACAAAAATTAGCCAATTTGAACCCCCAGAAAGCCGACTTTCCAGCTTGCAGATCCTTCCCAAACCAAATTTACACACTCATTCATCCCTAAACCCCCAAACATGTTGACTTTTCATCAAAGAATTAAAATAATCGCCGATCCGCAGAATTAAATTTCCGCATTACATTTGTTGGAGCTGTCGCGAGCGAGAATGAAAAAAATTCCGCACAAAAGCTCCATAAACGCGCTTTCGGGTTATCGAACGGCGCCAATTGAAGTATTGCGTCAAGGGCACCGCTAAGCCCTTTCGCTTTACACAACTATTCGCGCCTCGCGCACCTCTCATTTTTATTTTCACTTGTTGCTAGCTGCTCTCGAGGCGCCGACTTGCGTTTAGATAGAACTAATACCGTGTAGAGAGTCGAGGATTTCATAAACTTCTCATCTTCTAATGGGCGCCGGCAATTAATTTTGATCTTCGTCAAGGGTAA